CCCCAATTTTAACCCTAATTCGTATCAATTCCACCCATTATGCTCTAACTTCTTTAATATTACCCATTGACCCCGGATTTTAACAAATATATCACATTAACCCCCAAAATTTTTTTTTTTTTCAGAAAATAATTTTTTTTCGGAAATATTTTTTTTCCGGCCAGATTCCGGCGTTGACTTTTTTTTTTTTTTTTGAATTTTTGAATTTTTGTTTTCCTGAAAATTTTTTCCGGCCGGTCAACGGCCGTTGACCGCCGGGTCTCCGGCGTTGACTTTTTTTTTTTTTTTTTTTTAATAATTTTTTTTCTTAAAAAAAAATATTTTAATTAATTTTACTGTCTTGGCTGCTAAATTACTGTCTCCGGCAGCTATTTAACTGTCGGAGACAGTAATTTAACTATTAATTGACTGGTTTTTTTTTTTTTTTTCTTCAAAAATATTTTAATTAATATTACTGTAATCGTTGCTAAATTACTGTCTCCAGCAGTTATTTAACTGTCGGAGACAGTAATTTAACTGTTAATTGATTTTTTTATTCTTAAAAAAAATATTTTTAATTAATATTACTGTATTCGTTGCTAAATTACTGTCCCTAGCAGTTATTTAACTGTCGGAGACAGTAATTTAACTGTTAATTGACTTTTTTATTCTTAAAAAAAATATTTTTAATTAATATTACTGTATTCGTTGCTAAATTACTGTCTCCAGCAGTTATTTAACTGTCGGAGACAGTAATTTAACTGTTAATTGACTTCTTTTTTTTTTTTTTTTTCCTTAAAAAAATTTATTTTAATTAATATTACTGTCCTGGATGTTAAATTACTGTCTCCAACAGTAATTTAACTGTCTTAGACAAAAATATTAATAATATTACTGTTCGGAAAAATAATATTCATAATATTACTGTCCCAAACAGTAATATTACTGTCTGAGACAGTAATTTAGTAGTCAAGACAGTAATATTAATTAAAATATTTTTTTTCTAAGAAAAAACAATTCAAAAAAAAAAAAAAAAAAAAGTCAACGCCGGAGACCGGCGGTCAACGGTGGTTGACCGGCCGGAAAAAAAATTCAGGAAAAACAAAATTTCAAAAAAAAAAAAAAAAAAAGTCAACGCCGGAATCTGGCCGGAAAAAAAAGATTTCAGAAAAAAAATTATTTTCTGAAAAAAAAAAGTTTTGGGGGTTAATGTGATATATTTGTTTAAATCTGGGGTCAATGTGTAATATTAAGGAAGTTAGAGCATAATGGGTGGAATTGTTAAGAATTATATTATTGAGGGTATTTTAGACTAAAGACATGGGGATGGGCTTAATTGAGAGACTGTTTTTTTTGTGGACTAAAATGCATTTAAGTCCCATGTGATGGGCCTTTTTGCCATTTGCCCTTATATAATTTCCTAACTGAGTCGAGACCAGTTTTAATTCACCAATTTTTTTTATATATCTACCCATAAAACTCGTGCCCACTCACAGAAATCTCTTAAAAATCAATTTCCATTTCAAATTTTGTTTTTCATTTTTCAATTTTGCTTTTTATTAAATGATTTTTAAAATTTCAATATAATTATTTTTTTCGTTATTTTAATTTCGATGTTTTTGTAAATGATTGATTGTGTTAATTTGATCTAAATAAATAAGTATTTGATGATATTAGCAATAAATACCCAAAAAAAGAACTCCCCTCGAGTCTCTATAAAATTTTATTACATCATCTAAACTTCTGGCCCCCAATCGTATTTTACTGGTTTCAACAATGGCTTTATACAACTTACAACTGGTGAATATACACCAGGTGCTTTTAAACGGTAGATTTACGCATAATAACATACACCGTGTGTATGTGTATTTAGTAGATAGTTATTTATATAGATCTACGATTTAAAAGCATATGATGTATTTCACCTGGTGTAGGATCTCAAAAGTCGTTCCACAATTGTAAGGGATTGGGAATGCAATGAACTCTTAACTAAATACACAACAAACCAATACTAGGAATTAAAAATGCATTATCTAGGTGTTTATCGTAAATTAATGTTTATACCCTAACTACATTAATTAATGCTCGAACTTTGCATGAAAGATGAAATTTTTATTAAACATGTAATAAATGTGAACGTTACAGAATTGAGAATGCTATATCAATAGAGAGGCAACCAAATTAAACCACATTACAAAAGGCACTTATTAAACACTTGCTTTCATATATATTACCTATATTTCTATATATATAGGAAGCTAAGTAACAATGGAGCTTAAACCTATTCTTCTAATTGTTCTCTTCATCTTCTCTTCAACTGGTTAGCTCTCTCTCTCTCTCTCTCTCTCTCTCTCTCTCTCTCTCTCTCTAGGCAAATTACAACCACCCCTGATTTATGGTTAAATTAGGAAACTCGTCTCCTGTTTGGGTAATTACAGCCACCCCTCAACTATGTATTACCCTACGAAAAAAACCCTCCAGAAGGCAAATTTAGGGATGTTAAATGGATAAAAAACCAAACCGAAATTTTGGTACGCCAACAGTTCAGACCGTTTACCGAACTGAATATACGATTTGGTTCGGTAATTAACCGATTACATAAATTTTATGTAAAAATATATACAATGCAAGGATATATATATATATATATATATATATATATATATATATATATATATATATACTAAAATTCATATGTTTATATATTAATGTAGCTCTTTTATTTTGCAGAAAAAATACAATCGAGTCGTCTGAGTGAAAGTGTTGGAGCTGAATCCCCGTATAACAATGTCGAAACCAACGATTATTATGGGGAAGACCCCGTATATGGCTGGTGCCGTAGCGTCAAATGCGATACAATTGCCGAATGTGGTCCGTATGAATGCACGCGCTGCGGTGACAATAAGAGATGTCTACCTTAAGTCATCGGAAAAAAAAACATCACTTTCACACTTTGTTGTAGTAGTGAAGGGAATGAAATCATGATTTATTTGATATAAATCGTATGTTTGTATATATTACCAGTGCTCCACCCGTGCGATGCACGACAATATTTTTATGACAGTAAATATTTGATTTAAACAAAGTCGTCGAAATAAAAATAGGGGACAGCTAAAACAAATACCATTTATTTCTCACTTCAATACCACCATCATAAAAAATAGAAAATTAATAGGTAATGACATTAATACCATTAATAAAATCAATACCATAAAAGTTTTGTGTGTGGTATTGATTTTCATTAAGGATAATAATGATATTACCTATTTATTTATTATTTTTTATTTTTATGTTGGTGGTATTGAATTGAGAAAACATGGGTATTTGTTTTAGCCGCTTCCATAAAAATATCAAAAGTTGATATGCAATTAATACAAAGTAACGTAGTAGAAAAAAAATCTACAAAACAAATGATTTTGTTTGTTGTAAGCAAGGAATTAGGGGCCTTAAGATATAGGTCCCTGGTGACAAAACTTATTAGAACTAAATGACAGTCTAACTAAACATTTGTTTTACATCTTTTAAAAAAATCATTCAAAAAAGCCCCCCACACACAAAATATGAAATCTGCATACCAAGTAATATTTAAACTGTATTTATCATTACGGATTTAACATTTGCATTCTTGCATCTAACATTTTTGTTATTATTTTTTTCATAGAACATTTTTTTTTTGCATTTTCCGTATTTTTTTCCTTTGTTTTCCACTTAGTATTGAAATTTATGATTTTTTTTAAATTTTTTTCGGCCGTAGTTATCTATAGAAACCTGTAGGAAACAGTAGTAGTTCGTAGTCACATATAGACACTCGTGAAAAACTGTAGTAATTCGTAGTGTCATATTCTCAAACCCTAACTCCTCATTTGACGAACCCTAGCCGCCAGACACCATAGACACTCACATACAACTGTAGACATGAAATCGAAAAATTTTAGATATGCCCCACCAAACTCTACATCTCCTCCACCAAACCCTAGATCCACGACGCCAACGACACCTACGCCGCTAAAGATGTCACAAGCCCCACCCAAGTTGCCGTCGCCATCCCCCACCCCCAATATCACTGCATCACCAGCACCATCCCCCAACCACGAGCGCTGCAAACCAGCGAACGCCATCCTTATGCCCAACACCGCATCACCACCAGCGCCTCCCCCCGAGCCGCCACCGCCATCGCCATCCCTCTGCCCCATGCCGCCACCTCCAGCGCCATAGTCGATTCCATCGTCCTAGCCACCATCTCCCCTCAAACCATGGAGTGGAGTGGTGGCGAGAGAGAGCTTGAGAACGAGAAAAAATCGAGCGAGAGAGATAGAGAGAACCAGAGAGAGTGAGACAAAGAGAGAAGCATAAGAGGAAAAGTAGATATGAGAGAGAAACGTGAATATGTGGGTTATAAAATTTAGGGTGTATGGGCATGATAGGGATTAAAAAAAAATTAGAAATGTGGGTCATATATTATTTCATTTAATTAAAAACTTGGATTTAAAGTTGACATTTAGTTCAAATTAGATTTCATACGAGGGGCTCATAGCATATTACCCCAAGGAATTAAGCAGAAATACGTAATAAACATAAAAATATCGATAAGGAAAGTTACATGTACAAAATATCGTATCAAAAATCGGAATTTCCGGTAATTTTCGAAAGAATTGAAAATCAGAACTTCTCAATTCAAATATTTATCCACATCGAAATTGACAAAATTCAAAAATTTCATTTCGATTTTCACACCTAATTATTACCGGTGACCAGGGGTGTAGAATCTAGAGAAAATGAAGAACCCCACTATTAATTGGCCCAGCATACATATATATATATATATATATATATATATATAGCAGGTGTCACAATATACCATTTTTTTTGTCAAACCTAATTGTAATTGCATAATTAATTAATATCCGAACCCAACTACCAACGACTACCCAATTAATAAATTTACTAAATCTTCCCTATATAAACATCGTACATCTTAGGTTTTTTCTCCACACAAACACAAAACACACACACACACACACACACACACACACTCAACACACACAAAAATACCAATTCATAATCACTCACATTTTATTGCAAAATGGCTACAATGATCAAGAAAACGTGCATGCTCTTCATCGCCGCCGTGTTGGTGACGATGGTGGCGGTTGTGCCACTTGGCGAGGCGGCGATAGGATGCGGCACGGTGGTTTCGTACATAAAACCGTGTCTGCCGTATGTGACCGGGAGCGGCCCGTTGGGCGGCTGCTGCGGCGGCATTAAGGGCCTCAACTCTGCCGCCAAGACGACACCCGACCGACAAAGTGCTTGCAGCTGCCTGAAATCTCTCGCCGGCGGTGTCAACCTCGGCAAGGCCGCCGCGCTTCCCGGACAGTGTGGTGTTAATATTCCCTACAAGATCAGCCCTTCCACTGATTGCTCTAAGTATGTATATATATAATATATATAGATATTTATATATGTATATAGTAATTAATATCACAATTTTATAATTAATTAGTGCTAATTGTGTGGATTCTTGATTAATTATTGCTAAATGTGTGACTTTTATGTTGTGTTTTTTCAGGGTGAAATGAGTTGACTCGAAGGAAAGTCAAGTGATGCAGCATGATATATATATAATATTATAATATATGTTTTAACTAAATAAAGAGTTTTATTAGTTCACTTTTGAATTAGTGAACTTGATGCATGCATGTATACATGTTATATTTCTACATTATTTATATGATGAATATACAGTAGCTATTTTTCCTTATTAATTGTCCTTGTGATATTATTGTTGGTGATAAATAACAATCTACCTATATAATTGATTAAGAATTACACTTGCATGGAAGTAAAAATTAATCGAAAATACGAAAAATGACAAATATTAGAGGCTTGCCTAAAAAATGTTCTTAAGACAATATTTTACGTGTTGTCTAGGTGCAACAGTCTCTCCCGATAATATCTCAAGATACAGCAGTCGGATACTTTGATATTTAATTGCACAAATTCGAAGCCCGAACGTAGGAGTGAAATCTTAACATAAAATTATGAAAAAGAACTTCTCAAACGTTTGATTAAATCATCTGCGAAAACTGACCATGTTTTGTCATATTTATAGATATTTACGAGTCTTTTCCTAGAACGTTGTTGTTTGAACCATAGTCGATTTAATGAAGATATTTGTTGTTTAGGAAGAAACAAATTCATTCCAATATTTAAAATGTTCTAACAATTTATATTCACATAAAAAATTCCAACAAATAGAACTATATTCATGCAAGAAATGAAGAGTAAATCGAGATGTAAATTATAATACTTGAAAAATAAAATTGTATCGAATTTTTTTCTTGAGAATAAAATTTTATCAATTTCATGCAAAAGTATAATTGTCACTATCAAAGTATATATGAATGATTGGTTTAATCAACACGTGTTCTATAAAAGCACCACAAAAAAGTAAGATTTCTCAAAAGATTATTTAATTACACTGACAGTGACGGAGTCAGTATAAGGTTAATATAAATATATTTATTTATATAATATATATATACAGCAGATTTATTAAGTGCAGGATCAAAAGAAAAAAGAATCAATGTACAAATACTATAATACCCTTATTTATATTTCACATGAATGATAAGTCTGGGCCCACCCAATCATGGAATAATTTCACAAAATGAAAATTTTAGTTATGTGATTAATACTTCCAAAGCCAATCTACAGTTTACACACAGGAGTGCATATTTTTCTTTTGTAATTAACAAATGGATTAATTGATTAATAGTGATTATTATAGTTGGCAGTTGAGAAGTACAAATCAAAGGTACAATCATATTATTTTAGAGTTTGACAAATAATGTAAGTAGAATTAATTAAGTCCAACTTTACTGCCAAAAATCATTCAAGAAATTAATTCCAAGATACATGCCGACAACAAATTTGTCACGAAGTTATGATTTGTTCGACCTTACACCCGGTGAAAAACACCGGGTGTAGGATCGAGGGAGCCCGAAGTTATTCAGTTGCCCCTATCAAATCGGTCACGTTAAGAAGTATCGTTAAATAGTGGCCGAACCAGAATTTCATTATCAGATAGCGGATAAGAAAATTGAAAAAAACAAAATTTGTAATATAGATCTATGATATAAAAGCAATAACTAAAATTTTAAGCATATTTTTTGAAAATGTCGTCTCAGTTGTCGCCAGTGGCGATGCCAATATTTTATACGAGGGTGGGCATAAATAATGTAATCTCTATGTTGAAGTAAATCGAACTCAAAATATTATGGGAGGTGCGTTCTAATCGGCATTTGTTCATACAACATGAAATCATCGGATAAAATATTTTTGTTGCTTTACCTATTTCATTAAATTTTAAGGACTTCGATTCATAACTTCAAATTTGTTGTGTATAAAATAATAACTAAATTGCTATTAAGAAAATATTATATATATATATATATATATATATATATATATATATATATATATATATGATAGGCGAAAAAATTGCCATAGCCCCTGGTCCTATTCTGACTCCGTCGCCATTAAATTATCTTTGGAAAAATCTTACTTACCTGTGGTGCTTTTATAGAACACGTGTCAATTAAGACAATCATTTGTATATACATTGATAGTGACAATTATTCTTTTGCATTGAAAAAAAAAAACATCGATACAAATTTATTTCTCAAGTATTATCAGTTACATCTCTATTAAAACTTAATTTTGTATATTTTTGTGGATTTGAAATCCACACCGATCAATATGAATGGCATGTTTTTCTAAAAAAATTGAAATACTTGTTTGAGAAGTTCTTCGGAGTAATTTTATGTCGAGTTGGCCGTTGACTTCGAATTTGCGTGCAAATATCGAAATATCCGACAGTTGCACCTAGACAAAACGTAAACATTGTCTTAAGGACATTGCTTTGGCAAGTCTCGATTTGTCAATTTTCGCATTTCTGGTTAATTTTCAATTCCATATAAGTGTAATTCTTAATCAATTATATAGGCAGATTGTTATTTAATTATCACCAACAATAATATCACAAGGACAATAGCTACTATATATTCATCAATAAGTAATGTAGATATATATAACATGTATACATGCATCAAGTTCACTAACTCAAAAGTGAACTGTTAGAATCCTTTGGATTCTGACTTTGCAAGGAAACGTGTAAAAGAGTTGTACCACAAGTCTAGATATGCCGTGATATAAGAAGGGGAGTTTCCTTGTGTTTTAATTCTTTTTTTAATTTGTCATTAATTGATTAATATTAGGAATTATCTTTATACAAAGAGTTTTCTTATTTTCCAACTTATTCTCCTACGTGAATAAGAATCCCTAACATAATGGATTTTATTTCCTTAGTATTTTAATTAGTATTTTATTAATTGTGGGAATTAGTGTTTGAATAGGAGTTAATATCTTTTAATAAGATTTATATCCTAATATGCCTGATACGTTTTTTATGTTGGACTCTTGTAGGATTCTTTCATGAGGCTTATAAAAGTGGAGAAAATACACGTTAGTGTTTGACGTTCTTTTTGGAGAAAACATACCTCTGTTTTCTTTGTTGCCATACGTCTTCTTGGAGAGAAACATATACACAGGATATATTTCGTTACTCTCGTTATTTTATTGACGTCTTTTTATCGAGAGAAATCCACAGAGAAAATATCATTGGCTCTCGTTTTTATAGTTCCATCGTGATACGTGATTTTCATAGAAATATATCGGCTTCAAGGCTTTGTGGTGAAGACACCAAGATTCAAGGAGTATCACAAGTTTGTTTCTTCTATACAAAAAGAAGATCGGTTCTTCGGGAGAGGGGCTTAAACAGATCTCGGGAGGAGATCGATCCGCCGACTGAGGGATTCAGCGTTGAAGGGAGTTCAACCGTGCGGAGTAAGGGACGTGCTGCAAATTGAAGATTTATAATTCAGCGTAGTATACAAGAACGGCGTCAACAAAGAGGGAGTCTTTGTATTTTGATTAAGTCCTATTATTGTATTCGTAAAACTAAAAATTAGTAAATTTTATTTGCAGGTCCCCGTGGATGTAGGGTACAGTTGTATCCGAACCACATTAAATTTGTGTCTCGTTTATTTCTGTTTTTACGAACTGTTTCACGAACTGTTGCAATACTTCACGCAACAGTAACGAAAAACTGAATCTGACACAAATAATTTATATCTGCACGAAATAAATTCTAACAATTGGCATCAGAGCCTGTCACTAGATACACTTAGTGAGATTTTGGGATTTAATTTTTTAATTTGTTTTGTGCAGATATGTTTCATCGTGAAGGAGCGTCTACAGTACGACCACCTCTCTTGGATGGATCAAATTACTCTTACTGGAAATCGAAGATGAAGATGTTCATCAAGTCCGTTGATGAACGAGCTTGGCGTGCTATCGTGACTGGTTGGACCCCGCCCATGGCTAAAGGAACGGATGGTATGCAAACGGTAAAACCAGAAGAAGCATGGACTAATGAAGAGATATTACTTGCCAATTACAACTCAAGGGCGATAAACTCAATTTTCAGTGGCGTTGGTGACAATCAGTTCAAATTGATAGCATCGTGTGAATCTGCAAAAAGGGCATGGGAGATCCTACAAGTGACGTATGAAGGCACATCAACTGTTAAAACATCTAAGCTGCAGATGCTAGCCACAAGGTTTGAGAGTCTTCATATGGAGGAGGACGAGACGATTGCTGATTTCCACGCTAAGCTGTGTGATATTTCAAATGAATCGTATGCATTAGGTGAACAATACTCGGAAACAAAGTTGGTAAGAAAGGCACTACGTTCATTACCAGAAAGATTCGCTTACAGAGTTGCAGCAATCGAAGAAGTGAGAGATATCAATACGCTAAAGCTAGATGAACTCATGGGTAAACTGCAAACCCAAGAAATGAATTTTAGAGCAAATATTCGAGAAAAGAAAAAGGTGAAGAATGTGGCATTCCAAGCTGAAGCTTCCCATGGCATCTCACAAGGCCAAACATTTCATGAGTGTGACATTGATGTTGAAGAATCCTTAGCAATTATGTCAAATAACCTCGAAAGTCTGCGTCAAAAAATTGAAAATAGAGAAAATTCCTCTCAATCAGGTAAGTCTGTTAACCCTAACAAATTTAAAAAGTTTTCTAATAATGGTTATTTTGGTGATGCAAAGTCTAGGAGAAAGCAATGTCGAGAGTGTGGGGGTTTTGGACATATTCAGGCCGAGTGTGCGAACACTTTGAAGAAAAACAAGATGTCACTCACCACTGTTTGGAGTGATAAAGAGGACAGTGATGAGGATGAGAACAGCAAAGGAGATCAAACCACTAACTTTATGGCATTCAGTGGTACTACTTCGATGAGCAGAACCGAGGGACGAACTGTTGCAACAGTCTGTCCGACAGATTTCAGGTATGATGAATTATCTTTAAATAAGGACAATAATCTGACTTCATCATTTAATTTTGCAGGTGAATCTGAGAGCAGTAGTGATGATGAAGAGCCAACCCTCGAAGAGGTGAAAGATGTATATGAAAAAATGTACCGGAAGTGGCTTGAAGTATCTGAGGTAAATGAGCGCCTTGAAAATGATAAGCATGTTCTCATAGAGGAAAATAAAGTGTTAAAGGTAAGAATTTCTACTCTTGAACAAAATGTTATTTCTTCTAGTAGAGAAATAGATAGCTTGCAGGCTAAATTTGCTCAAACCCAAGATGTTATTTCTAAGTTTAATACTAGTAGAGTAACTTTGAA